CCACAGGGCACTGCAGAGGTGGCACTGGGAGGGAGTGGGGATGCTCATCGGGGGACTGGGGGGACCAGAGCCTCTCTGGGATCAGCCCAAAGTGCTCCCCATCTGCTGCAGGGTGTAAAGCAGCCTGCAGGGGAGGCTAGAAGAGACCTGCCTCCACCCCAAAGCCTGGACAGAGGGTTTCTTGCAGCGCTGCCTTAGAGCTGTGACCTGTGCAGGGGTCACATCGCCAGTGGCAGCTCTGAGGACCCTTTATCCGTGGGGCTGGGGTAGATGGCAGAAAACTGGCCTGTAGGGAGGTGGCAGGGCCCTGGGACATGAGGCTTCCTGTGCTCGGATGCGTGTGTCGTCGGGAACGGTTCTTGTTCTGGGTTTTCTCTCTCTCCCACCACCATCTTTCTCAGTGGTGTCCTACAGGTTTTCCGGGTCTCTCTCCTATTCACACGTGGTGTCTTATTTTGCCCTGGGCTGTAGCTAAAACTCAGGATGGTGTGGCCTTAGAGATCCAGCCCCTGAAGAGCCAGGAAGGGGTGGAAAATGAAGAGAAAGAGAAGAAGAAGGTGAAGGTGCCCAAGAAGGAGAAGTCTGTGCTGCAGGGGAAGCTCACACGCCTGGCGGTCCAGATCGGGAAGGCGGGTGAGTGGCAGTGGCTTGGCATGAGCTGTCACCCCAGAGCTCTCACTGGAAGTGGCATGGGGAGAAGGGACTGTCCCCTTCCCATGCGTCCCCTCACCTGCCACTCTGCCTCTTCTTTCCCCAGGGCTGATCATGTCGGCCATCACGGTCATCATCTTGGTGCTGTACTTCGTGATTGACACGTTTGGGGTGCAGGGGCGGCCCTGGCTGGCAGAATGCACCCCCATTTACATCCAGTATTTCGTCAAGTTCTTCATCATCGGTGTCACCGTGTTGGTGGTGGCTGTGCCTGAAGGGCTCCCGCTGGCAGTCACCATCTCCCTGGCCTACTCCGTGAAGGTGAGACCACAATGCAGCGGGGTCGCTGGGGACATGATGGGGAAATTCAGGTTTTTGGCTCTGACCTTCCTGGTCATGGTGCCTGTTGCAGAAAATGATGAAGGACAACAACCTCGTGAGGCACTTGGATGCGTGTGAGACCATGGGCACCGCCACTGCCATCTGTTCGGACAAGACAGGCACGCTCACCATGAACCGCATGACCGTGGTGCAGGCCTATGTGGGGGACACCCACTACCGCCAGATCCCTGACCCCGAAGCCATCCTGCCCAAGATCCTGGACCTCATAGTCAACGGTGTCGCCATCAACTCTGCCTACACATCCAAGATCCTGGTGAGTTGGAGAACCACAGCCTCATGTCTTCTGGCCTTCCCACCGTTGGCCATCCCTGCAGCTCCCGTCCCACCATACTGAGGTTTGGCATTGCTTTTCCTTTTCCTTCTTCCCTTCCAGCCACCTGAGAAGGAAGGGGGGCTACCTCGGCAAGTGGGGAACAAGACAGAGTGTGCCCTGCTGGGTTTTGTGCTGGACCTGAAGCAGGATTACCAGGCTGTGCGGAACGAGGTGCCGGAGGAGAAGCTCTACAAGGTCTACACCTTCAACTCTGTGCGCAAGTCCATGAGCACGGTGCTGAAGAACGGCAATGGTGGCTTCCGCATGTACAGCAAGGGAGCCTCCGAGATCATCCTCCGCAAGTAATGGTCCTCCCTCACTCTGCCGGTCCTCTCCCCGTCCCATGGGCTTTTGGCTCTCGGTGCACCACGGAGTTGTTTTGGGGAGGCTGCAGGGTGAAGGGTGCTCAGCCGCTGTGGAGTGGGGAGGTGGCTCTCGCGAGGTGCTGCCGTGCAAAATGTTCTTATGGTGGTTTTAGTAAAGCCGTAGGGAGCTGTGGGCAAGGGGGATGCCCCTGTTTTGCAGATGGGGAACCTGGGTGACAGGGGGAGCAGATGGCTGAGCTGACAGTGCCACCACCAGTCTCCCTCACCCTCCATCCCGGTCCTGTGTTAGGTGCACCAGGATCCTGGATAAGAACGGTGACCCCCGGGTGTTCAAGGTGAAGGACCGGGATGAGATGGTGAAGAAGGTGATAGAGCCCATGGCCTGCCACGGGCTGCGGACCATCTGCCTGGCTTTCCGTGACTTCCCTGGTGATGCCGAGCCGGACTGGGACAGCGAGAACGAGATCCTGTCTGACCTGACCTGCATCGCTGTGGTTGGGATAGAGGACCCCGTGCGGCCAGAGGTACTGCACCCCAGCTCTGCTCTGGCTGTCGTCCACCCCAGCCCTGTTCCTGGGCCAGGAGTCCCTTTCCCTGCTGCTCAGGACCACAAGCCCCTTACGAGAGCACAAGCAGCTCCTCTGCATCCCTCCCTGAAGTGTCTCACACTACCAGCTCCCTGCTGCAGGCATTTCTTTCCCATACCTGGACAAAATGACCTGGTGACAGGGTGTTTCCAGCCAAACTTTCCCCCCTAGTGGCTACCAGGGGCCTGTGCACAAGCCAGACTGGTTCCACACGCAGTTGAAAAGTGTGAGGAGATGTAAGGGGGGACAGAGGGGTGTTGGAGAGGGACAGGGCTGATCTAGCTGGTTCCTCCCTCGCAGCTCACTGCCCCCCTCTGCTGTGGGGGTGATGGGCAGGCAGCTGGGCTAATGCAATAAGCCCTCCCATACCTGTCTCTTGATTACATTTTGGAGCTTGCCCCTGCACTTCTGCCTTGCTTGCATCTTTCCTGATTAGATGTTCAAGTATCTGGGTCTGGGAATTGCATTACAGATGCCCTGTCTGCACCGGCTCTGGAGGCCGTTGATTCAATTTGCTAATTTCTCACTAATATCCTCTTCCCCCACCGCTCCGTAATAGATAAACCCATTAGCGCAGCAACGTGCTGCCAGAGCGGTTGAGGGGGGAGTGGATGAAATGCCCTTGTTTTCATGGATCGCCCGGCTGCGCCTTGGCACCCAGCACGGTGGCGTGCTGGGGAGGAGGCAGTGAGGTTGCCATCCCCTTGGGGCAGGGGCTGGAAGATCTCACGCTGTCTGCGCCGGAGGAGCTGCTCCGGACATGCATGAGAGTCTGGCTGGAGCTGCAGCGAGGGCAGGCATCCTCTCCGCTCCCGGATGGCTTCCCCCTGCACCCCAGGGATAAACAGCCGAGCTGGTATGCAAGGTGGCAAGGGAATTTTGGGTGCAGCATCTCATCCCCAGTGCGAGCACCAGCTGAGCTGTGGGTGGGTGCAGGATCCTGACCCCACCAGGACCTTTTCCAGATCCTTTTAGGGAGGATGGGAGAGGAGCTGCCTGACTCCCAGGATACCCGGTGCCAAACCCAAGCACCCTGCCCTGCCCATCTGCCCCCAGCCCCGACTCTGTCCTTGTCCCCCAGGTGCCGGACGCCATCCTGAAGTGCCAGCGGGCGGGGATCACTGTCCGGATGGTGACGGGGGACAACATCAACACCGCCCGTGCCATCGCCACCAAGTGTGGCATCCTGCTGCCGGGGGAGGACTTCTTGTGCCTGGAGGGGAAGGAGTTCAACCGGCTCATCCGCAACGAGAAGGGAGAGGTGGGAGAGCAGCCCCGGGTCCTGCTCTGCAGCGGGTGTGGGTGGCCTCTCCGACAGCCCCAGCAGCGTAAGGCGCTGAATCCTGCTGGGTTTTTCTCCTCTCCTTGGATAAATGCAGCTGATCCCTCCACTTGCCGGGATCCTCAGCTGCAGGGGTGTCCGGGTGCTTGGAGGCAAAGGTGCTTTCCTGTCCCAGGTGGGGTTTGCTCTCCGGTGGGGCAGAAGGTTTCGGGGGGCGATGCCTTCCCTTTCTCACATGTGCCATGTCCTGCAGGTAGAACAGGAGCAGTTGGATAAGATCTGGCCCAAGCTGCGTGTGCTGGCCCGCTCCTCCCCGACAGATAAGCACACGCTCGTGAAAGGTGAGTGTCTGCCAGCTCCCCCCCTGCCACTGCTGCCTCTCCCTCATCCTGCTCTGCCCGGGTGCTTTTTGCAGCATCCTCCGTGCTGGGAGCCTGCCCTTGGGACTTATTTTCTCGGAACTGCTTGTGTGCATTTCAGGAATTATCGACAGCACCGTTGGTGACCAGAGGCAGGTGGTGGCCGTGACCGGGGATGGGACCAACGATGGCCCAGCTTTGAAGAAAGCTGACGTTGGGTTTGCCATGGTATGGATGGGCGGTGGGTTTTCCCCAGGGGTGGCCTTTGCTCTCTGGGGTGAGAAACTAATGGCATGCTTGGTTGTTCTCCACACTGAAATCATTTCTGGACTGGTGGAACTCTTTTCCACGTCTACAGGATGGCTTAAAAAGAAAAAAGAAACTTTCTTTGGAGCTTTGATTTAATTCTCATGAACTTTATAGGACTGTTAAAAGATTGATGGGAAGCAATCCTCTGAGAGCCTGGCTTAGGGCTGGGCTCCTCTGTCCCACCTGGAGGGACTGTGTCAAGCTCAAGGTGACACAGTGCTTGCAGAGCACCCGGAGCAGGGACCTGCCTGGCCCTGGTTGCTGACCTGTGGGGTCCAGGAGATCTGTGGGAGCCCAGTAACTCAGCGTGACTTGGTTTATCCCTGCAGTTCTTCACCCAGGTTTGTAACGGGCAGCCCAGGCTCCGAGCAAGGTGCTGGCACTGCCGTGGGGAGTTTAGTGAAGAACTCTGACCTCCTGGTTTGCTGCTTTTCTTTGCCCTGTCTGAAAGAAGCAAGAAAATGAACCTGCCTGTTTTGACGGGTTTCCTGTGAATTGTTTAAGTTTAGGTACCTGAGGAGGAGCCAGCTGCTGGGTGGAGCCTTATGAGCCCATGTAGGGAGCTTGGAGCAAACGGGAAATTTGGAGGAGCAGGGCTTTCTAGGAAGGTGTTAAATAACCAAGTGTAACTCTGGAGCCTTCAGGACGAAGGCAGAAGGCAGTCTGTCTTCTCTTGGGGACCATATAGCAGGTCCCACGTGCAGGATCAGTCCCTGGCCAGGCGCTGGGCTTCACTGGGGATGAGGCACCGGGGCTGTGCCACCCTTGAGTCTCCAGAGAGCAGGGAGCAAACAGCACATGGGACAGCTCTGTCCAGCTGCCCCGGGTTCCTGTCTTGAGATGGGTCTTGGAAATCTCAGGAGAGCTTCTCCAGGAAGGCATCAGGGAACCACCATCACTTCGGTGCTTTTAATTACTGCAAAGCGAGCGCCTCTGTGTGCTGGCGGCGAGAAACGCAGCGAGCACAGCTCCTGCAGAGCAAACTGTGTCCTTCTGAGATGCTGCAGCTGACTTGGGAGGCTGTGGGCAGCCCTGCTTGCTGCTGCTGGATGGGGCAGAGGGCACCAGGAAGGCAATGAGGCTTTGGGCTGCTGAGCTCTCTTTCATTTGGGGGGCCCAACTCTCGCTTGAGGCAGAGGTGCCCAGCCAGGGATGCCCGTGTTCCCTGGCATAAGGAGGCAGACGTGCTTCTAAGCTGTTCTCCCGCCTTGCTGTGCTGGCTCAGAGCCCCGCTCTGGAGCTAAGCCTCTGTCTGTCCTTGAAGGCTTCGCTGCTTTGGAGCCTCCGCTCTCTCGGGTGCGTTTGGTGCTGTTAAACACAGGACTGGCACCGGCTCCGGTGGATTTTTCTCTCGGGGCTGTTTCTGGGAAGAAGCAGAGCCGGGCGGATGGCAGGCGTGGAGCTTGCTCCGTGACTCACCCCATCGCTTTCTCCCTGGTCCTCAAGGGCATCGCAGGCACGGACGTGGCGAAGGAGGCTTCGGACATCATCCTGACGGATGATAACTTCACCAGCATCGTCAAGGCGGTGATGTGGGGACGCAACGTCTACGACAGCATCTCCAAGTTCCTGCAGTTCCAGCTGACCGTTAACGTCGTGGCCGTCATCGTGGCCTTCACGGGCGCCTGCATCACGCAGGTACGGGGCCGCTGGGCTCGGCAGGAGGAGAGCGGAGGCTCCTGCGAAACAAGGAGTGAAAAGAGGGCGGTTTCGGTGGTGTAACGTGTTCTCCCTTCTCTCTCTCTCTCTCACTGCAGGACTCTCCCCTGAAGGCTGTCCAGATGCTGTGGGTGAACCTGATCATGGACACCTTCGCCTCCTTAGCCCTGGCCACGGAGCCCCCGTCCGAGTCCCTGCTGCTGCGCAAGCCCTACGGCCGCAACAAGCCGCTCATCTCCCGCACCATGATGAAGAACATCCTGGGGCACGCGGTGTACCAGCTAACTATCATTTTCACGCTGCTTTTTGCAGGTGAGCTTTGAGGCCCCAAGAAACGGTGGGGAAAACAAAAGGGGCAGAGTCAGTTTTAGCCAGGGAAGCAGCTTTTCAACATTTTTAAGGAAATAAGGGTTCAGCGGGACTAGCATGGGACACTCCAGCTGGGTCAAGGGATCTTCAGGAAGAGCCTGGGATCCTAATTCCACCCCTACCAGTGCAGAGCAGAAGAAAGAAGCAGGATCTCTCATCTTCTCTTCTCTTCTCCTGCCCTTCCCCATCCCCTCTCCAAAACCTCTTGTCTGCTTAGGGGAGAAGTTTTTTGACATCGACAGTGGCCGGAATGCCCCGCTCCACTCCCCGCCCACCGAACACTACACCATCGTCTTCAACACCTTCGTCATGATGCAGTTGTTCAACGAGATCAATGCACGCAAGATCCACGGGGAGAGGAACGTCTTTGAGTCCATCTACCGCAACCCTATCTTCTGCACGGTGGTGCTGGGGACGTTTGCAGCTCAGGTGAAGCTGTGGGAACAGCGTAGGAATGAGATGGTGGGGCTGGGAGGGGACCACGCCGCAGGCAGGATCTGTGTCTGCTGCAGTCACTGCCCACAGCTCTGTTCTGTCCCCTTATTCTTCTCCAGCAGCTTCTTGGTGACACAAAACCTCAATATTGGGGTCTAGAGTGTGCCAGGGCCGGCCAGCCAGTGTGCCTCTGGTGTCCTGTAAAGTTATTAGCCTAGATGTGAGGTCCTTGCTCCTCTCGTGACCCCAGGGAAGGGGGGAAAGATGTGTGGCTGTAGGTGACCTTTTCATCCCATGGCTGTGCTGTGCAGCCCTCGGGGCTCCCTGACGGGTGACTTGTTCTCTCCCGTGCTGTAGATCATCATCGTGGAGTTTGGTGGGAAGCCGTTCAGCTGCTCTGGGCTCACCCTGAGCCAGTGGTTCTGGTGTATTTTTATCGGAGTGGGAGAGCTCCTCTGGGGCCAGGTAAGAGCCAGTCTGAAAAACATCCCACGTTCCTCTCTGCCCCAGCGTGCTGGCAGCCCAGCCTGCCTTTCCCTTTCTGCTGCCTCGCTGCCCTTGGTCTCCCCAGTATGTACTCAAGGCAGCTTTGGAAGGGGGTGATGCTCCATCCCAGTACCACACCAGCAGCGAGGAGAGGAGGTTGCTAATCTACTCCTCGTTCCCACCCTGCTTGCAGTGGGGGCACATCCAGCGCTGGCATGTCTCCACGGCATCCCGGCATCTCTCAGCTGGATCCTGGCAGCTCGCTGCTCCCCCTTGGTCGAGGCTGGTGGTGGGCTCCATGTTGCCATAGCCCGCAGGCTAAGGAGCTGCTCTCTCCCTGCCTCTCCCCAGCTGATCTGCACTGTCCCAACCAGCCACCTGAAGTTCCTGAAGGAAGCTGGGCATGGCATCACCAAGGAGGAGATCCCAGAGGAGGAGCTGCCCGAAGACGTGGATGAGATCGACCACGCTGAAATGGAGCTGCGGCGCGGGCAGATCCTGTGGTTCAGGGGGCTCAACAGGATACAGACACAGGTACTGTGGGGCAACGGGTCCTGTGGGGCTCTTCCTTCTCTCTCTTTCTTTCTCTTTCTTTCTCTCCAGGGGCTCTGTCTGGAAGGAGGTAGCGGCTGCTGCTTGGAGGATGCCATCACCTCCTGGGCTAGACTTCTTCCACCACCTGTGCCTTTCTGGGTCTGCCCTGGTTGGGGAACCAGGACAGCCTGCCTTTTGGGACAGCTCGGGGTGGGGGGAGGCACCGGTCTGTTCCGATGCAGAGCACGGTGTCCTGCAGCCTGAGGCCAGGCTGGTCTGCAGGAGGTTGGACGTGCTGCTGACGGGCACCTCACACGGCAGAGGAGGGTGCTCGGAAGCTGCAGGGGGGCCACAGTGGTGCCCGGGCTCTTACCGAGTTGTGTAGCGAGTGCGTCAGCTTTGAAACTGCTCTTGGTCACTGCTGGGATGCTGCTCCCTGTGGGGAACGTGCCCAGGAGGGATCTGCCTGCACAAGACCCTCTCAGGTCTCGCTCCTCTGCTGCTCTCTGCCCTTCCCGACAGCCCTTTGGCCAAGGGCTCTTGCCACCCTTCCCTGCCAGCTCTCCGAGCTCCTCGCCTGGAGCTCTTGGCCCTGCAGCACAGAAGGGGAGGAGAATCTCTTAATATGGTTTTTATATCAGCTGTTTCTCCCTGACTCAGTTTTTCCTGAAAGGGTGTTTTTTCCCCCCCCGGACTGCTGGCTTGGCTGGGCAGGGAGAGCTCCCAGCAGCGAGATTGCTGCCGCTGGTCTTTCCTCGAGGCCTGGGCAGAGCTGCCCCGTGGAAGAAAACTGTAGGTCCCCAGTGGCCCCTGGCATGCAGGGCTGCTGTGTTACCTGTTGTTCTTCCTCCTCTGGCCCTCCGACAAAGAGAGAACCAAAATGGCCTGAGCACAGGGACTGGAGCGAGCACAGCAGTGTTGTGCCATGTTAACTTCGCTGCTTCTCTGTGAGACGTTGCCTTGATGGTTTCAAGGTGAGGTTCAGCCTTGATTCCCTGCCCGTTGTGAGTGGTGAGGGGTGGCCGGGCTCTTCTAGGCACCCAGGGCAGCGCTGGTTGCTGGTGCTGCCAGCTCAGTCTGGTTGATTGACTGGGAGCACTGGGCTGTTTTGGAAGCAGTCCAGATGTCTTGGAAGCCTGGTAGGTATGAACGGCTGTGGTACCAGTGGCCAGGTGTGCCGCTGGGGCTGAGTCCGGAGCCTCCCAGGTATCTCCCTGCAGCCCTAGTGGATCTGGGCTGAAATGAGCTCTTGCAACATGGAAAAAGCTCCCGGACACTGGCATGTCCTGGAGCCACTTTAGCAACGTCTTTCCTGGCTGGGGTGCCCTGTGCATCGAGCAGAGCAGCCAGCAGGTCCAACCCAAGCGTCTTGGGGCTTCTGTCCCGACTCAGTGTGTCTTAAGCAAGAGCACGGGGCTCTTCCCCATGGGCCAGCCTGGTGTGCTGGGGAAAAGAGGGTCCCTCTGTGGAGGGAGGTCAGACCAGGGAAGGAGTGAAGCAGTGTGTAAAATACTTCCAGGGTGAGCTAGAGCCGCACACGTGTCTGGAGGAGGTGCCCCTTCCCAGGGAGCCCTGTGGGCAAACTGGGGTGGTGCGGGGCTGTGCGCTCTGCCAGCGGGCTGGCTGGCACGGCGCTGGGGCCAGTCCAGCTGCAAATTGTCTGGGAAACCACGGTGGCACCCGGGTGCTGCTCTGTTCCTCCAGCCTTTGTGTGCACCCACGGAGAGACTGTGGCCCATCACCAAGGGTGCTTCCTTTCTGCATCCCTCCGCGCCCCTGCCAGCTCTGCTTGAGTCCGTGACCTGGGAGAGAGGCTGAAACATCTTCCAGCACGGCTGGCTGCCGTGGGAGCTGTGGGCATGTGGTGTGTCCCAGGATTTGGCCCCCCCAGTTGTACATCCCACGGGGCTGAGGGACCAGAAACCCTTCCCCAGTGCAGTTTTCGGGACCACCAGCTGCCAGCTCGCACCTCTGCCCACCCTCTCTTTTTTTTTTTTTTCTCTGCTCCTGCTGCAGATTGTCGGGATAACCCAAGGTGTTTGTTTCCTCTGTCGCTCCCTCCCACCGCAGTCTCTTTCTTGGTGGTGGGATAAACCCTGCCCCTCTCACGCCTGCCAGAGCAGGGCAGAGGCTGGAAGCCGACCTCTCCTCTGCTCCCAGAAACACCAATCGAACCTGGTGTGGTTTATGGGAGCGCGGGGTGGGGGGGGCTCTCTCCTCCCTCCTCCCCACCTCTCCGTCCTCCTTCTTCCTTCCTGTCTGTGTGTGTCTGCCCAACCTCCCTGCTCCCCTCCATCCCCGACCCCTCTCCCTGTCTCTGGCCGGGGCGATGCTATCTCACTCTCTGGTTCTTTGCAGATGGACGTAGTTTACACATTCCAGACCGGCGCCTCCTCTTTGCAGGGAGCCCTCAGGAGACAGCCTTCCATCGTGAGCCAGCACCACGATGTAAAAAATGTTTCTAGCCCAACCCATGTAGCTCTTTCCTCCGTCAATTCCACTCCCACCACTTCTGCTGTTGCTGCTGCTGCTGCATCTCCTCCTGCGGGCAGTGAGTGATAGTCTATTACAATGCATGACTTATAATAACCACAGAGAGCACCTGCACCAACCTAACCCAGCCTGTTCTCTCTCCCTCTAAACCTGCACACTGATTTCCAAAATGAAGGATGGGGCGGGAGAGCATTTTAAAAAAAAAAAAAAAAAAAAAAAAAAAAAATCAGTTTTTATGCTGTTGCATCCTTAACAAGGTTACGATACTTTCTGGTCCTCCCCCCGCCCCCCCATTCCTTGTTGCTTCCTCCATTTTTACCTCTTCTCCTCCTTTGCAGGACTGACGTATGAGTCCACCCTCCTGAGGGGTGCAAAAATTGGCAGTTCTTGGTAAAAGAACCGCGTGTTCATGAGCAACTAAAAGCAGTGCTGTGAAAAGGGCACGCTGCGCCCAAAAGTTGCCGTTCCTTCCCGGTGCGGCTCTGCCCAGCCCCGGGATGCCCCAGGAGGGCAGAGAGATGGGCAGAGGCGTTGCTTTACCGAAGCTGTAAATCTGTTGGGAGGGCAGAGTGGCTGGGCCCGGGCCTCCCACAGCCCCTTG